CTCAATAGAAAACTAACCGTACAAATGTGTCACATCACGATAATCAATTTACCTAGTTTACATTAAAAAAAAAAAAAAAAAACAACGTGTTACCTGGATTCAATGAATACGCCAATTTTTTAATAAAATTCGAAACCCTCACGGCCGCAATGATTATGGGAAATCCCAATAATTGTACGGGAAATTCAAATGTTGATTCTTCTTGTTGATTCATCGATATTACAGATGATATTAAAACGAAATAACATCCGAGAAATATGAATAACTTTGATAGATACATTATTGATTTATAATTTAAACAATTATTTCATTAATTTATATCATTTAAATTATAATTGTGTGAACACTATTATTATTATTATTATTATTATTGAATAATTTTAATCTTTTACATTTATAACACACTTTTTCATTGAGAAACACTTGTTCATCAATGTATTAATTATTATTAATTAATAATTAAATTAGAAAACACTATTAATGATGACAATTGAAATGTAACAATGGAGATTAACTTTAGAAATTTGGATTTTAAACAAAATTATTTCATCGACTAAGTCCGTCCACTTGACTTCATTCGTAAAAAGCTGATCTTTGAATGTACCTGAAGTCCGCGTGCCGTTTGTGTAGTAACATACGAACACGTTCCTACCACGAACTGGAGAAAGTAATCGTACTCCTACCATCCAACAACCATTAACTATACTGTTCATGTAGACTTTGAAACGGTGTTAGTCTTTTAGAATCTTATTATATGATTGTAACATTTCGTAAGCAGATTGGTTTAACTTTAACGTCATAGGAAATTCATTCCTTTCTTTCCTTACTTCCGAAGTAAGTTTGTTTGTTTGTTTTTCTTTTTTTATTTTTGTCTAATTCTATTTCATTTATTATATTTATATTAATTGTCATTGATGTGTGTGTGTGTGTAGTTTAATAGTAATTTTGTGTAAGATCGTTGGATAATTTAATCAACAGTATTAAGTGAAATTTGTGATTTGTTTTTATAGTAAGTTGATTAATTGAATATTCTTTCTACATCACTAAGATCATCTCATTAAACTTCATGTGATTGAAACACATACTTTTCTTCCTTACTTTCTTCTTCTTCTTGTTTTTTTTTTTTTTTTAAATCTAATTTTATTTATTGTTTTTCAATTAATTGACATGGATGTGTGTTTAGTTAACAATTCAAGTGTTCAGTCAAGTGTTTAGTTGACAAGTTTAGTTCAAGATTTTTAAGTGTTTTA